AAAAAAAAAAAGCTACTGTTTATGTTCAAAGCTAAGGGAACCCTGAATGCAATAGGATCCTATATTTTCCCAGTTATACAAATATTTTGAGTTTTTTTTGATCACTTAATGACTTAATATATTGTTAGCAATGTAGATGAAATAGTCAAATGCCCACTGAATTCTTCTGAATAATTTACTTAGTGGTATATAAGTTCACATGCTGCCTACCTTAATATATTCATTTTTAAATAATGTGATTTCGGCCGGGTGCTGTAGCTCACACCTGTAATCTCAACGCTTTGTGAGGCCAAGGCAGGCGGACTGGTTGAGCTCAGGAGCTGAAGACCAGCCTGGGCAACAGGGTGAAACCCTGTCTCTACCAAAAATACAAAAAATCAACCAGGTGTGGTGGTGCATGCCTGTAGTCCCAGCTACTTAGGAGGCTGAGGCAGGAGGATCTCTTGATCCTGGAGGCAGAGGTTGCAGTGAGCCAAGATGGCACCACTGCATTCCACTACAGAGTGAGACTCCCATCTCAAAAAAATAAATAGGGCCAGGCATGGTGGCTCACTCCTGTAATCCTAGCACTTTGGGAGGCTGAGGCAGGCAGATCACAAGGTCAAGAGTTGGAGACCAGCCTGGCCAACATGGTGAAACCCTGGCTCACTAAGAATACAAAAAAAAAATCAGCCGAGTGTGATGGTGCACGCCTGTAGTCCCAGCTGCTTGGGAGGCTGAGGTAGGAGAATCACTTGAACCCAGGAGGCGGAGGTTGTGGTGAGCTAAGATCGCACCATTGCACTCCAGCCTGGGCAACAGAGGGAGACTCCATCTCAAAAATATGAATAAATAAATTCTGTGATTTTCACTCATATTTCTCCAAAAACTGTATTCCCACCTTCACAGGCATCTTTAGCATCCACGTCGTTGCCACCACCTAGCAGTGCTCCAGAGGTTGTCATCATGCTCAGCTATGATACAGCCTTTGGGAATCAGCTTGTGTTGCTGTCTCCACGAAGTTTTCTCAAGCCGCAAAGACCCATTTGCTATTTGTGGTCACTGGAATGTAACTGCTGACTCTGTTGCTTTTTGTTGTTGTTGTTGATAATGCTAAAAAGCTGATCTTTAAAAGTGTTGTTTAGGCTGGTGCAGTGGCTCACGCCTGTGATGCTAGCCCTTGGGGAGGCCTAGATGGGCAGATTGCCTGAGCTCAGGAGTTCGAGACCATCCTGGGCAACATGGTGAAACCCCGTCTCTACTAAAAATACAAAAAAATCAGCCGGGCATGGTGGAGGGCGCCTGTAGTCCCAGCTACTCAGGAGGCTGAGGCAGGAGAATCACTTGAACCCAGGAGGGAAGGAGGTTGCGGTGAGCTGAGATTGTGCCACTGCACTCCAGCCTGGGCAACAAAGTGAAACTCTGTCTCAATAAATAAATCAATAAATTTTAAAAAGTAAAAATGTTGTTTACCATAATATCAAACCTTTACAATTATGTCATGCCACTGCCAAAAGTTAACATGTCCCCTTTTATTGATTTAAATAGGTGACCTCTATAAGTAGCCAGAACTTATTCTATTCTAATTGAAGCCATTTGTCTTCATCAAAATTCCGACTGAGTCAATGAAATAGAAGATCATGGTGTATGTATATGACAGATGAAAGCGTTTTATATAGGTCCTCAGACCAGAGATCCAAGTTCCCAGTGTAGGCCCTAGTGGGAAGTTATTTTCATTTCTTGTAGCAACTGTTAGGAAATTGTATCCCAAAAGGGGGCTAAAATAGTAACAGGGCGCTGGTTGTCTTGGAATTCTGAAGAGAGAAGTGGAAGCCTTTGGAGTCTCTTCAGCAATCCTTCAGAGCAGTGGCCCTAAACCAGGATTACCTAGGACATGTTAGAAATGCAAATTCGAGGGCCCCACACTATCTCCTGAATCTGAAACTGAGGGTGTGGTCCAGGAATATGTATTTTATTTATTTTTGAGATGGAGTCTCACTCTGTTGCACAGGCCGGAGTGCAGTGGCATGATCTCAGCTTATTGTAATTTCTGCCTCCTGGATTCAAGCGATTCTCCTGCCTCAGCCTCCCAAGTAGCCGGGATTGCAGGTGCCTGCCACCATGCCTGAACAATTTTTGTATTTTCTTTTCTTTTTTTTTTTTTGAGACAGAGTCTTGCTCTGTCACCAGGCGCCAGGCACATTGGGAGGCTGAGGTGGGAGGATCACTCCTGGATCACTTGAGCCCAGGGGTTCAAGACAAACCTGGGCGACACAGTGAGACTTGTCTCTACAAAAAAACAAAAAACATAAAAAATAAAGATTCCTAGCTGATTCTACTATGCAGCAAAATTTGGGAACCATTAAATTACTGTCACCTCAAAGAGAAAGATAAGATACATCTTATAGGAAGCAGAAAGTGAGATGTGCTGTAAAAAAGAGAGAGAGAAAATACCACCGGGGTTCTTTTGGATAAAATGTGACCTTGTTTTTAGAAAATGCCTCCTAACTTTGAGAATTCTCCTTTCTGTCTCCCTGCCTCTACTTGCAAGAATTCGGATTGGGTGCCTCTCACCACACTGTCACACTGCAAGTCACTGAGGACAATGACAGCAATCAGTCGCTACATGGAGCTGACCATCGAGCCTGTGCAGCAGGTGAGTGGCCATTGGTCACATCCAGGTGCCCAAGAGGGTGGGAAGCAGTCATGGAAGGCTTCCTGGAGGAGGTGATGCTTTAGCTGAGGGATGAGCAAGACAAAGCAGAGAAGCAGGTAAAAAAGGCGCTCTCCAAGTGGGGCTGTTGGAGAGAAAAATATTTTTCCTGTACCCTCATAACTGATGAAACATAGACTAACGAGAAAAAAAACAGCTTTAGTTACTTGTACATGGAAATTTACAAAGAAAACTGTGGCTCAAGGAGGTGGCCGGATGATGGTGGCTTATATACCATATTAGGCTGAGTAAAGGGAAAGAGGTTTGGGGTTCTGGGGTGGGAGGCAAGCTGAGGGAGGACCTGTGTGATAAGTAAGGGCTGTCTTGCTATACAGGTAAGAGTCTCTCGGGTGACAAGCGTCTCTGGAAGTAGCTCTCTTCCTGGTGCAGAAATATCTTTACAAATGGAAATTTCCCTTATAAATAGAAATTTCCTTTATGAAAGGGAAAATTTATACTCTATTTTCAGGCAGTTAGGGGAGGTTAATAGCTCCTGTTGCTTTTCAAACACCTTTAAGTCTAAAGAATCCATATGTTGGCCGGGCACGGTGGCTCACGCCTGTAATCCCAACACTTTGGAAGGCCGAGGCAGGCGGATGACCTGAGGTCAAGAGTTTGAGACTACCCTGGCCAACATGGTGAAACCCTGTCTCTACTAAAAATAAAAAATTAGTCAGGCGTGGTGTCACACGCCTGTAATCCCAGCTACTCAGGAGGCTGGGACAGGAGAATCGCTTGAACCTGGGAGGCAGAGGTTGCTGTGAGCCGAGATCGCACCACTGCACTCCAGCCTGGGCAACAAGAGTGAAACTCCATCTAAAACAAAAAGAAAAAAAAAGAATCCATATGCTAAAGAGGCATATTTCGGGGTGGCATATGCTGGTACCCTTCAGGAGTGAGGGGAGATGGAAGGGTGGAGGAGGCAGGGGTCGGGTCATTTAGACATGGAGTCTAGCATCTTGAGGGTGATGGGAATCAGGAGGCTTGAGAACTGCAGACTCAGGGTCAGATGTGCATTTTAAAGCCATCCTGGGAAGTTGTGGGTGGCCTGGGGCAGAGGAGACTAGCAGCCGAGCAGCCTGTCAGGGCCGGTCAGAAGCCCGAGGAAGGGGCAGTGTGACTTAAACTGAGGTTGGAGCAGGTGGAGAAGCAGAGACGCAGTTGAGAGAGATGGGAAGTAGAGCATTGGAGGGGGGCTCCGGCTGTCTCCCTGAGTTCTACACGAGGGGTCCTCACGAGGAAGAGGATTGGGAAAGAGGTGACAAGAAGTTCGCCCCATGTCCCACAATTCCACCCAGACGGTTCTCGTCAAGGTCACCGATGACCTCCAAGCTGCTAAATCCGCCGTCATTGCATTCTGAGATTCCACGCACCTGGCCACCAGCTGCTCCCGGCGCCTGTGGCCCACACTCTTCTGTGCTTTCTGCCCCTTCACAGGCTCTTCTTTGCCCGCAGCCTCTGCTGGCTCCGCCGGGTAAGCTTGATTGTAGAGAGGGAGTCCAACACCCTGTCCCAGGCAGGCTCCCTGCTCCTGGTGGACCCCTGCAGCCCCACAGTCGCCTCGCTCTGCATACCAGTTCTTGCTCACTTCCCGGTTCGTGTCTCTGTCCTTTCCACTACTCTCAGTTCCCGTCCACGCTGCCCAGCTGCCCATGCAGCTGTCACCATATGGCGTCTCACATTTACCGTGTCCAACACAGAATTCTGGATTTCCATGCCCAGACCAGCTCCTCTCCCTGCCCTCCTCATCGCAGTAAATGACGCACTGTCTATGCAGTGGCTTAAGCCCAAAATTCCTCTTTCCCCAGCCCCACCCCCATGCCCATCCATTCCTTTTGAGTCCTGTAAATGCTTCCTTATTTAAACTAGGTCTTGAGTGCAGCAGCCTCCTGGCTGGTCATCCTCGCCACTTCTCCTCTCGTCCTGCCCTGCCCATCTCTAACAAGCAGCCAGAAGAATCATTCACAAATGTAAATTACATCTTGTTCCTCTTTTGTTTAAAACACTCCTGGCCAGGCGCGGTGGCTCACGCCTGTAATCCCAGCACTTTGGGAGGCCAGGCGGGCGGATCACGAGGTCAGGAGATAGAGACCATCTTGGCTAAAAAGGTGAAACTCTGTCTGTACTAAAAATACAAAAAAAAAAAAAATTTAGCCAGGCGTGGTGGCACGTGCCTGTAGTCCCAGTCACTCGGAGGCTGAGGCAGCAGAATCTCTCGACCCAGGAGGTGGAAGCTGCAGTGAGCTGAGATGGCGCCACTGCACTTCAGCCTGGGTGACAGAGCCAGACTCTGTCTCAAAACAAAAAAAAACAAACAAAAAAACAGGCCAGGGCTCTCAGTGGCCCACACCTGTAATCCCAATGTTTTGGGAACCTGAGGTAGGAGTATCACTTGAGGCCAAGAGTTCGAGACCAGCCTGACCAAAAGGTAAAACCCCATCTCTACTAAAAATACAAAAAAATTAGCCAGGCATGGTGGCGGACACCTGTAGGTAGTCCCAGCTACTTGGGAAGCTGAGGCAGGAGAATCGCTTGAACCCAGGAGGCAGAGGTTGCAGGGAGCCTAGAGCATGCCACTGCACTCCACCTGCGTGACGGAGCCAGACTCTGTCTCAAAAAAGTAAATAAATAAATAAAAATAAAATACTACTACTTAGCATGTAAGTGTTAATAAAAATTATCCTAACAACTTTATGAGGAAGTGTCCTAGTCTGTTTCACGTTGCCATAAAGGAATAGCTTCGGCTGGGTAATTTAGAAAGAAAAGACGTTTCTGTAGCTTATGGTTCTGTGTGTTTACATGGCACCAGCATCTGCATTGATGAGGCCTCAGGCTGCTTCCACTCATGGAGGAAGGCAAAAGGGAGCAGGTTCCACATGGCAGGAGAGAGAGGAGGGGGTGCCACGCTCTTTCTAACAAGCAGCTCTTGCAGAACAAAGTGAGAACTCACTCACGTGAGAATCGCACGAGGCCACTCAGAAGGGCTCTTCCCCACGACCCAAACGCTCCCACCGGTCCCCACTTCCAACACTGAGCTCACATTTCAACACGAGACTCGGTGGGGCCAAACGAACCACTTCCAAACCAGAGCAGAGAGATACTAGTATTATCTCTATTTTCTTTTCTTTTCTTTTTATTTTTTTTTGAGGCAGAGTCTCACTCTGTTGCCTAGGCTGGAGTGCAGTGGCACGATCTCAGCTCACTGTGATCCACACCTCCTGTGTTCAAGAGATTCTCGATTCTCGTGCCTCAGCCTCCCAAATAGCTGAGACTGCAGGCACACGCCACCACGCCTGGCTATTGCGTGTATGTGTGCATATTTTTAGTAAAGAAGGGGTTTTGCCATGTTGTCCAGGCTGCTCTCGAACTCCGGACCTCAAGGGATCTGCCTGCCGTGACCTCCCAAAGTGCTGGGATTACAGGTGTGAGCCACCATGCCTGGCCTATATCATTATTATTTTATTAACAATTAATAATGTTATTTTAAGTTGAGGCACAGAGAGGTCAAGTAGCTTGCCCAAGACCCTACAGTTAGAAAAATTACAGAAATAGGATTCAAACCAAGCCTGTCCGATTTGTGGACCTGGGCTTTTATAAAGAGCATATGCCCTCTGTGCGTCATTTTGCACCTGCTCCATTAGCAGTTTTAAACATTGTGGTAACATTGTGTAATGTGAATGTCCCAATGGGCAAGATTGGTGGAAACAGGCACCCTTGCTGGCCATGTGCACTGATAACGTATCCCGTAGGAAGAGCCATCTGGAACTGGGTAAGGAGAGCTGCAGAGGTGCTCCCTTGTTTTCCCAGCAGCCCCCCTCTCCCCCGTCGAGCTGGTCCTATGGAGCGATTTTCCAGGAGACGCAGAGGGAGCAGCACCATGGTTCAGGCTGAGCCTCCAGAGGGGCAGAGGTGCACGGGGCCACATGGATCAACTCTCGCATCCTTGGCTTGGAGCGTTTGAAAACTGTTTTATCTGTTGCCTCGGGTGTGGTCAGGCCCTGGACATTTATAGAATGTGTCATTGTTGTTCCTGGGAGGCATCTGCTTCCCCACCCCCATCCAGAGCTTTCTGTTTCAGCATCCTTCCCAGCTGGGCAGCAGGGTGGCCCTCCCCTGTGTTCCTGGGCTGCTTCCAGAATGTTACCTTTGTTTCTCTTGTAAATTTTCTCTGCCTGTCCAGCTGACTCTCACGTGAACCTGTGCACTTAACGCATCAAGGGCAGAAGCCCTGCTTGATTTGGGTCAAGTACTTATAGCCATTCTTCTCATGTGTCCAGGGCATTTACAGCTGAGCCCTATGACACCCCCCCACTGGAGGTGAAGCAGGGATTATCATCCCCTTTTATAGATTAGGAAACTGAAGCCGGGTGCGGTGGCTCAAGCCTGTAATCCCAGCACTTTGGGAGGCCAAGGCGGGTGGATCACGAGGTCAAGAGATCGAGACCATCCTGGTCAACATGGTGAAACCCTGTCTCTACTAAAACTACAAAAAATTAGCTGGGCATGGTGGCGCGTGCCTGTAGTCCCAGCTACTCGGGAGGCTGAGGCAGGAGAATTGCCTGAACCCAGGAGGCAGAGGTTGCGGTGAGCCGAGATTGCGCCACTGCACTCCAGCCTGGGTAACAAGAGTGAAACTCCGTCCCAAAAAAAAAAGATTAGGAAACTGAGACTCAGAGAGGACATCTGTCTTTCTTAGGTGATGTGGCTTTGCTATGTCCCCGCTCAAATCTCATCTTGAATCCCCACGTGTTGTGGGAGGGACCCAGTGGGAGGTTACTGAATCATGGAGGAAGGTCTTTCCCATGCTGTTCTCATGACAGTGAATAAGTCTCATAAGATCTGATAGCTTTAAAAAGAGGAGCTCCCTGCACAAGTTCTCTCTTTGCCTGCTGCCATCCATGGAAAACATGACTTGCCCCTCCTTGCCTTCCGCCATGACTGTGAGGTCTCCCCAACCATGGGGAACTGTAAGTCCATTAAACCTCTTTTTCTTCCCAGTCTCAGGTATGCTTTATCAGCATCGTGAAAATGAACAATACATTAGGTCACATGGTTAATTTAGTGGAAGATGCTGGTCTAGAAAGCAGGTTCTTTGCCCTGTTGTGTGTCAGTGGAATGACGTGAATCCTGCAGGACTCCAGAAGTTCAGCTGCTGGGGCTCTGCAGATCTCTGAGGGAGTCTACATGAGCCCATGTGAGGAAGCTTTGGTCTGAGATAGATAGATAGATAGACAGACAGACAGACAGACAGACAGACAGACAGATAGATAGATAGAAAGGTAGGTGGGTAGGTAGATAGATACACATAGAGAAAATCTCACAAGTTTCTTTCTACCTTAAACCTTCTTAATTCATCCCAACTCACTTTCATCCCCTGCTGGTGGCATGGGGAAAGCCTCTACGGGGTACATTTATAGCAGTAGCTATACGGATTTCAAATGTACATACTCTCTTTAATCCAGCAATTCCACCTCTAGGAATTTGTCCTTTACCCTGAAGTATTGGATGTACAGTGTGATTTACTGCAGTCAGTCGGCACTGGCTGCAAGAGCAAGAGGCTGGAAACACACTAAACACCCATTAGTGGGGAAACAGACTGAAGACACCTAAAATGCTACCAGCCCCTCTCGCCCAATCTTCTGCTATAGAACTATCTCTAAGGCATAAGTATTAGGTGGAAAAAAGCAAGATGCTTGAGAGAATGGAGCGTGTGCTACCATTTTGGAAATCAAGGGAAATATGTGTATGTGCATTTGACACTGGCACTGCCTGCCCCTGGGGAGAACTGGGTGGCCGGGGCAGGAGAGCACAGGTGGACGCTGCCCTACACACCCTTTTGTACATTTTGAACACTGAAGTTTGTGAATGCTTTGACAATTCATCCATCAAGACTAAACTACGTGTCCCTGTCTGCCTTTTCTCACATTCTTTGTAGGCAGGCTGCAGTGCCACCAGGCTGCCGGGTGATGGACAGACGAGCACTGGAGATGCGTCCCTGCAGGAGCCCCCGTCATACCCTCCCGTTCAGGTCATCCGGGTCCGAGTGTCTTCCAGTAGCTCCTCCGAGGTCCCCTCCATCAACTCTGACCTGGAGGTACACGGCTGTTGCCTGCTGGGCGGGTGCGTGGGTACCATCGTTCGCTGACACTTGCTGGGTGCTCCTGGGGCTTGCACAGCTGTTCTCACCTTACCCACATTAACTTCACACCTGCTACATAATGAATGAGGCCGGGCACGGTTGTTCACGCCTGTAATCTCAGCACATTGGGAGGCCAAGGTGGGCAGATCACCTGAGGTCAGGAGTTCGAGACCAGCCTGGCCAACATAGCGAAACCCCGTCTCTACTAAAAATACAAAAATTAGCCAGGCATGCTGGCTCATGCCTGTAGTTCCAGCTACCCAGAAGGCTGAAGCAGGAGAATCACTTGAACCTAAGAGGTGGAAGTTGCAGTGAGCAGAGATTGCACCATTGCACTTCAGTCAGGGCACCAGAACAAGACTCTATCTCAAAAAAAAAAAAAAAAAATATATCTAAAAAAAAAAAAAAAAAGAAAGAAAAGAAAAATGAATGAATTTCTTTGGGGTCCTACAGTCTATGTCAGTACTGATAAGAGGTTTCCATGGTCACATTAATTGCAGGGGCAGTGCATATTGGAGTCCGATCCTCATAGATCACTTGCACGATAAATGCATGAGTAATACATTTTTAAAAGTCTCAGTGTTGGCTGGGTGCGTTGTCTCACGCCTGTAATCCCAGCACTTTGGGAGGCTGAGGCGGGCAAATCACCTGAGGTCAGGAGTTTGAGACCAGCCTGGCCAACATGGCGAAACCCCAACTCTACTAAAAGTACAAAACTTAGCTGGGCGTGGTGGTGGGTTCCTGTAATCCCAGCTACTCAGGAGGCTGAGGCAGGAGAATCGCTTGAACCCAGGAGGTGGAGGTTGCGGTGAGCTGAGATCGTGCCACTGTACTCCAGCCTGAGTGACAAGATCGAAATTCCGTCTCAAAAAAATGAATGAATTAACTAAAAATACAATTTAAAAAATAGCTGGGTATGGTGGCGTGTTCCTGTAATCCCAGCTACTCAGGAGGCTGAGGCAGGAGAATCACTTGAACCCGGGAGGTAGAAATTGCAGTGAGTGTATATCACGCCACTGCACTCCAGCTTAGGTGACAGAGCGAGACCCCGTCTTTTTTAAAAAAAAAAAAAAAAAGTCTCAGTGTTTCTCAAACTAATTTACCCATGGGAGCTTTTCTTCTTCCTGAAAAACCAGCTGTATCCTCCTGTGCTGGTGGTACCATACACAAGTGGGCCCTGCGGTGGGCATCATGGCTGACACTTGCATAAACTTTACCTCATTTTGAGTTTTTGTTGTTTTTTTTTTTGAGATGGAGTCTCGTTCCGTCACCCGAGGCTAAAGTACAGTGGTGTGATCTTGGCTCACTGCAACCTCTGCCTCCTGGGTTCAAGCGATTCTCCTGCCCCAGCCTCTCAAGTAGCTGAGACTACAGGTGCCCGCCATCATGCCCGGCTAATTTTTGTATTTTTAGTAGAGACAGGGTTTCACCATATTGGCCAGGATGGCCTCAAACTCCTGACCTTGTGATCCACCCACCTTGGCTTCCCAAAGTGCTGGGATTACAGGGGTGAGCCACCACACCTGGCCTTGAGTTTTTCTGTCTACTAATCACACACAGACGTAGCTCTTTCACTTGGTCCCACAGTTGTGGTTCCCAGCCCTATTCAGTGAGGAAGTTTCCATTTGTCTGTGGAAAAGTGAGAACACAGGGACAATGTGGTGACCGCTTGTACGTCAGTAGACAACTGTCAGCTGTCTTCGGCGGGGGAAGAGGACTGTCTTTCTTAAATGCCCTTTTGGGAAAGAATGGTAATAGGAAGCAGTAGTTAGTGTCAAGTTTTTTGGTTTGGGTTTTAATTGGCCTTATTTGGCCAACTAAAGTCCCCTAAGATTGGTTGAACTTGTACTGGCCCTTGAAATCTGAAACTCAGCACCACTGACTGGGATGAAGTCTGGATTCCACAGGGTGGCAGCTCTGGCCTTTCACAGGCTGCCCAGCCTCAGGCGCCCCCTGCCCTCACTGGGCACACCGCCTGGTCATGGGCTGTTCTCTGGCCCCAGGCCTTTGGCCTCATTGCCACAGCTCAGAATCTGACCCAGAGACTAATGGCTCCTTCCTCTGAGTGCCCCGAGCATATACCTTTTTTTTTTTTTTTTTTTTGACAGTGTGTCACTCTGTCACCCAGGCTGGAGTGTGGTTGCACGATCTCTGTTCACTGTAACCTCTGCCTCCCAGGTTCAAGAGATTCTGGGTGCCTCAGCCTCCCCAGTAGCTGGGATTACAGGTGCCCACCACCACGCCCGGCTAATTTTTGTGTTTTTTTAGTAGAGATGGGGTTTCACCACGTTGGCCAGGCTGGTCTCGAACTCCTGACCTCAGGTGATCCACTCAGTTTGGCCTCCCAAAGTGCTGGGATTATAGGCGTAAGCCACCATACCTGGCCCCAGAGCACATACCTTTCTGACACCACTTCCACTGCTGGCCGTGTGCCCTGGTGAGCCACGGAGGCCTGGGTTGTCTTCGCGTCTCTCTCCCTCCATCCTGGAGCACGGCTGGTCCCGGAGGGCTGGGTTTGAGTCGGGAATTCCGCATGCTTTGGGCTTGTACTCCTGTGTCATTCTGTGTTGTCTGGTTCTTGGATGTGGTCTCAGAATTTGTAGGGCACCCAAGGCTCGTGGCTGGCAGCCTGGGGCCCGCAGTCCTGGCAGAGATCTAAGGCTAAAGGGGAACCGAGTGAGCATGGCAGCAGGGTGCGCTCAGCGGGCAGGGACGGTGAGGTTGGTGGGTCTGGGGTGCGCGGGGGAGAGGGAGAAGCAATATTTGCTCTGTGAAAACAAAGTTGAGGCTTGCCGCCCACCCTCAGTTGGGCCGTTTTTCTGTTTTGCAGTCCTTGCTCTTTCTCTGCTCTTATCTCTCTCTTTTCTAGAAATCTATTGTTAAAAATATGTAAATTCCAGCTGGGCGCAGGTGGCTTACACCTGTAATCCCAGCACTTCGGGAGGCTGAGGTGGGTGGATCACCTGAGGTCAGGAGTTTGAGACCAGCCTGGCCAACATGGTGAAACCCTGTTTCTACTAAAAAT